AAGACAACTCCCACTTGTTCATGCTCTCTGTATGTGTGTATATATATCTCCTCAATATGTTTCACTCTATATGCATCCGAAGAAGTGGGCTGTAGCCCACGAAAGCTTATGCTCTAATAAATTTGTTAGTCTCTAAGGTGCCACAAGTACTCCTGTTCTTTTTATGAAAAAGATGTTTACATATATCTGTACATGTTGTTTAACAGGCATTTATGGTACTTATTTCAGTAGTATGAGTGCCTCAAACATTTATGAATTTAGCCAAACAACAGCCCTTGGGCCTAGCTGAAATTTGGGGTTCATCTCTGGTGCAAAGCAGTTAAGGAGTAATATAGCTATTGGTCCAAGCCTGGTTAGCAACTACCAACATTTGGTGGCAGTACCATAGGCACTGGAACTAGGGGTGCAGGGGGGGTGCTGCAGCACCTACCAGGTTTTACACGGGGCTCCGCTCCTGGCCCTGCATGCTGGGTCCTGGCCCCATGCCCGGAGGTCCTGGCCATCGGCCCCACGCCTCCGCTTCTGGCCCTGCACGCGGCTGCTGGTCCCGTGCCTGAGGGTCCTGGTCACTGGCCCCACGCCTCCACTTCTGGTCCCCCACATGGCCGCCAGCCCCACACCTCCTTTTCTGGCCCCCCATGTGGCCACCAGCCCCGCGCCTCCGCTTCTGGTCAGTCCCGGGTTTACAATGGTGCCAGTGGTGCCATGGAGCCGGGCCCATGCTCAGAAGGGGCCCCCGCCTACTCCGCTTGCACTGCTCCCTGAGACCCCACCAGTCTGCTGGCTCCCCCCATCCCACCCATCACTTGCTCCTCTCTGCCCCCTGGCCCCACCCGCTGGCCCCACCCACTGGCTCCCCTCTGCCCCCTGGCCAGACCCCAGTGCACCTCCGGCTCCGGGCAGTCTCTGCTTCCCACCACCTGTGGGGCCCCGCCTGTCTCCCCGGAGCTGAGCCGCCTGGGACTGGTGCAGAAGCCTGGCCAGTCTCAGCCAGGTGTGTGTGGGGGAAAAGTGTGGAGGGCTTGGCTAGGCCCCACCAGGCAAGTGGGTCCTGAGGGAGCCCAGCCGGGGCAGGTCCTGGCCTGGCTGATCGCACCACTCCCAAGGGGCCGGAGCGATTCCCGACCCTGGGACCAGCTCTGGCTGCACTGCCGGCTCAGCCCAGCAGACACAGTCGCCTCCCAGCAGGGCCGGTGAGTTCAGCTGGGAGGCAGGGCGTGGGGGAGGGAGTCTCTGGGGAGTCTGGGGGGGAGCTGAGATGTGAAGGGGCAGGGAAGATCTCTGTGTGTTGGGGCACAAGGGAGTGGGGATTATGTGTGGGGTGCTGGGCAGTTATGGTGGGGCTGTGGGCAGGGGTGGTGTTGTGCAGGATGCTGTGCATTTGTGGCAGGGTCTGGGGAGGGCGCTGGGCGTAGTGGGTCCAGGGGTCTCTGGCCATAGGGAGTCGGGGGTGTTTGTGTTGGGCGAGGGGGGCTGTGTGGCAGGTCATGGGCCCACGCCCGAGGGAAGGAGCATGCTGGCAGCACAGGGGATTGATTGAGTGTGCATCTGGCATCTGCCGGTTTGTAAATAGTGCCCTCGCACTGGGCTGGGCAGAGCGGGGCCGCCCTTGCCATGCCGTTCCCCATTGCCCCTGGCTGGCCCCTCACTCTGGGGACCTCCCCCTCCTCCGTGCCATGCTCCATTGCTTCCATGGGGGCCCACAAATATGTTTGGAGCTGGGCCCACAGAAGGTTAATCTGGCCCTGCTTCTGGTCCCCCATTGCAGCCGCCCGCCCCGCACCTCCGTTGGCCCTGTATGTGGCTGCCAGCCCCACCCCCAGCTGTGACCACAGAATTGGCCCCCTTATCCCTGTCCGGGTCCCCCCTTCCCAGAGACACGGCCCTGCTCCCGGCCCCAGCTCTGGGGGAAGGGGGGCAGACTGGGGGTAAGGGATCTGGCTCTCAGCACCACCGCTATTAAAAATGTTCCAGCGCCACTGGGCAATACAGCTGAGCTGTTTGTAGGATTTGTACTCACAGCACTGTCTGGATTCAGAGGGAGTTTCTCACTGTTAAGGGATGACATAGGAATTGTACTGGAAAAGAAGAGGCCTCTCCTGGCATCCCTGTCTCTATGACTGCAAACACTATTGTCTTCCAGTTTTTGTAACCGGTAAGATGAGATACCCAAAAGAACACAAGCTAGTAGAGCTCGTGACTCTGACTCAATTGGAGGTTGTGTTGGAGGATTGGCTGCATGTAACAGATCGGGTGGGAGAAATCTGTGAACTGCAAGTGTGCACAGCCAACTGTCAGTATCACCAGTTCAACTGGAAAACAATATCAACGCCCGATGATGTGCTGCCAACTCTCATAATACCTGGTGTTTTTCTTACAGCTTCAGCTGCTGGAATCAAAAGATGGCATGTAGATCTCAGCTTTCATTCAAATAAAAAAGTACATTTCTAGCCCCTCTGGTTGCATAGAAAAGTTTGAAAATATGAAGTCAGTGTACCCTAAAGCCTCTCTTCCAACCCTAATCATCTATGATTCTATAACTCTATGAAGCCAACAGGAAAAGAAAAGGAACCCTTTAAAAAAAAGTTTCATGATTTTGTGGAGGGAGGGCCTGAGGTTGGCACTATTGCAACAGCATTGTCAGTCTTACAAAAAGGGATGGCAGGAGAGGCCTGAGCCCAGGGACAAGGGGGACCCAGGAACAGGCCCAGGTGCATGTCTCAGTGTGTGGGAGAACAGGGATTGGACACACAGGGCGCATACTCAAACCTCACCTACACAGAATACTACATCTGAACCAGCTACACCTCACATACCAAACTTCATGGGTGTCTTCACAACAACAGCGGCCTTGCTGTCCATGTGGTCCGAGACAATCATCATCTCCTTCAGCGCCTCGTCGTACTTCACCTGTAGGCGATCCAGATCCACACCCTGGGGGAGGCTGCTGTCCACCCCGCTGACAGTGACCAGCGCTCTGTCCGCGTCCGGGTAGCGGAGCGGGTCCAGGGGGCGCACGGTAACGTGGCAGGGCAGCCGCACCTTCAGCTGGCCGAACGGGCTGACAATCAGCGTCCACTCCTTGAGGGGCTTATTGCCCCTCTTCCTGCCCTCCTCGGGGCCCGCCGGGCTCGTCACGAACAGGGCAGAGCGTGACCAGCTGCCGGCACTCGTCCCTCGCCAGGGGCCGCCGCTGCTCAACAGCCCCCGCCGGACCCCTGCCACCCTCACTCCCAGGTGCCACCAGCCCGGGCAGGGGGCCCGCATATTGCCCAGCTTTGATCCCGGCGCCTGCTGTAGCGCCCTCCTCCGCGCGGGGCGCGGCTTGTGGGAACCGGGCACCGCGGGCGAGGGTGGGGTCTGCCCCCCACCGGGCACTACAGGGACGGGTTATGGGGCCCGCCCTGCCCGAGGGCTGGGGCGCACAGCTCATAGGAGGGGACCCCCCTGCAGCTCCCTCACATAACTCGCAGCGGGGGGAGGGGGTGGCGAACGGGGAACAAGTCACTTGCCAGAGTCTAGGCTGGCAACTTGGTGGGTGCCGCCGCCAGGCGCTCCCCACCCCCACGAGCCCAGGTGGCTGCTGGGAGTTGTAGTTCTGAGCCACAGCAACTTCATAGAGAAAGGCCGCAGGATGAACTACAAATCCCAGCGGGCGACATCCTGACCCCTCAGCGGCCCCTTAGTCCTCTGGCCAGGAGCCACGGGGGAGGGTGGGGGTCTTTCCTGTTCTGCTCCTATTGGACAGGGGGGGAGACGTTGCCACCAATCAGAAGTGAGGGGGAAAGAGGGTAGTGAGGCGGTGCGGCGGATGGGGGGGGGGAGTTGGCTGTGTCTCCATGACAACCCGAGACGCTCTGGGGCTGGTAAACATGCGGCTCGAGGCTGCCAGGCAGCTGCTAAGGGGACCTGGAGGGAACAAAACGCCCCGGAGGAGGAACCTGACTGGGTAGGAAACACCAGGTAAGAGGAGCCCCGGGTGGCACAGACGCCTCAGTGCAGCGGCTGTGGCTGGTCCCTTGAGGGGGAGAGACGCTGGCTTAAAAGAAGAGGGGGCTGGGGTGCTAAAGGGTGGGGGAGCCGTGAGGTATTTGGGGGAGGGGATCGCACTCTGCAGGGTGTGGGGCACACGTGGAGGGGTCCACTCTGCAGGGGGGAAGCACACCCTGGCAGTGTGGTGAGAGGCATGGGGTGGGCACCCTGGGTAGCTCGGTGAGGGGAGAGCCTGCTCCAGGCACCAGCGAAGGACGCAGGTGCCTGGGGCGGTCAATAGAAAGGGGCGGCACTCCGTCCGTTGTTGGGGCGGCACATCCAGCGGCAGGTCCTTCAGTCCCTCGCTTCCTCCTCGGCGGCTCTTCAGCAGCAGCTCAATCAGATTTATCTTTCTTTTTTTTTTTCCTCTTTGCCACTTGGGGCGGCAAAAAAGCTGGAGGCGGCCCTGGGTGAGGGGCATGGGGAGGGCACGAATTTCCTGAGGTGGGGCACCATGGGTGGTGTTACACGCCAAGGTGTTGGCGGTGATGTAACGCTGACAGACCCCGGTTGTTGGTGGCGGGCTCGAACCTGGAACTTAAATCATAAGCCTCTACTGCATGAGCTAAAAGCTAAGTGGCTGGTAGCAGACTCATTTTAATTTCTTTCTCTAAGTGGTCTTGGTGCCACTAGATGGGACAGAACACCACACCCAGAAGGTGTGCAGGTTACATACTTCCGCTAGCTGAGGAAGCGCATCCCAAGCTTCAGAGACTTCCCAGTTAGAATCCGGATGAGCCCCCGCATGTAACGCGGACAGATCCCCGGTTGTCGGCGGGTGGGATTGAACCTGGTGCCTCCGGGGCTTAAAGCATGAGCCTCTACTGCATGAGCTAAAAGCCAACTGGCTGATAGCTAACGCTGTAGAGCAGACTCATTTTATCTCTCTAAGTGGTCTCGGTGCCACTAGATGGGACAGAACACCACACTCAGAAGGTGTGTGGGTTACAGTGACACCTAGTGGTCAGAGCAGGAGTCTGTCCTAATGGCCATAGCGGAATCAGAGGGCAGAGCTGGAGTTGCATTGGGGAGACGAGCCCTCAGGCAGCCAGGAGCAGAGGCACATTTGACTTCTATTTTGGGGGAGTAAGGGGCTTAATACTATTAATAATAGGTATAGGTGTAACTTCTGGATTTACCAGTTGTTAGTGATACTTAAATTCCTAGGTGATCCCTCGAGGTCGAGGATGATCTCTTTCACAGGTTTTATTTTTCATGGGTTCTTTGGTGACTGAGGAGTCTGATCCTTGAGCCACAGGCTCGTTAGCAGACATTGCAGGTGGTGTTAGAAGACAGGGTTGGGCCACGATTGCTGCATAACAGTTGTCTTTCCTTTCTTTTCTGGCATTTTTCTGCGACCAGGGCAAGGCAGTTTTCCTCAAAAGTGGACATTCCCTCTCTGACAAGTCTTTGCCAATTATCCCTATCCTGGGCTGCTGTCTCCCAGTGTGTGGTGTTGATGCCACATTTCTTTATGTTTATCTTGAGGGTGTCTTTAAAGCATTTCTTTTGGCCTCCCCATTTCCTTTCTCCTTTGGTGAGTTGGGCGTACAGCAGTTGTTTTGGTAAGCGTACATCAGGCACACGCACACAGTGCCTGCTCCACCTCAGCTGGTGTTGGATAATCAGGGCCTCAACACTGAAGATGTTGGCCTCTGTGAGGACACTGACATTAGCGCAATGATCTTCCCACTTTACGTTGAGTATCTTCCGAAGAAAGTGCTGGTGCTGGCGTTCCAGGTTTTTCAGGAGTTTTCTGTAGGTCACCCAAGTCTCATAGCCATAGAGGAGAGTTGGGATTACCACCACTTTATAAACAAAGTCTAGTGTTCTAATGTTGTGATTGTTGAACACCCGGTGAGACAGTCTGCCAAAGGCTACCATTAAGGCAAATTAGGCGGTTGCCTGGGGCGCCAAGATTTGGGGGCGCCAAAAAGCGGTGCCCCCAATTTTTTTTTACCGTGTTCCTGGGCTGGGCTGCCGGCGGCGCACTGACACGTGCGGCTCTGACTCCCTCTCCCAGCGCAGCGGCCGCTCCATGCAATTATTGTCATTGCCGGCGGGGGCAGCGTGCTCGGGGAGGGGACGTAGCAGAGGTGAGCTGGGGTGGGGAGCCCTGCGGCAGCTCCCCCCCCCCGCCCTGAGGCACACATACACCCCCCGCGGCAGCTCCCCAGCCCCTTGGCTCAGGGAGCTGTGCGGCAGCTCCCCACCCCAACTCACCTCTGCTACGCCCCCTCCCTGAGCGCACAGTCACCACTCCACTTCTCCCGCCTCCCAAGCTTGCGGCGCCAATCAGCTGTTTGGCGCCGCAAGCCTGGGAGGGGAGGAGAATTAGAGCAGGGGCGGCATGCTCGGGGAGGAGGCGGAGCAGAGGTGAGCTGGGGTGGGGGGGGAGCTGCCGCGGAGGGGCACCTCAGGGCAGGGCGGGGGCTGCCGTGGGGGGGGGGTGCCTCAGGGCGGGGAGCTGCCGCAGGGCTGCGGGGGCCGCAAGGTGGAAGTTTCGCCTAGGGCGCGAAACTTCCTTGCACCGGCCCTGGGCACAGCGAATTCTGTGCTAAATCTTGACTTCTATGTCTGCCCTTTTTGAGAGATGGCTGCCAAGATAGGCAAAGTCAATCCAACGTTGGATGCCAATGCCCTGTGGGGTAGACGATCTTAGGTTAATGTTTTCATAGCTGCTAAGAAAATGGAGAAAAGGGTGGGTGCCAGTACACAACCTTGTTTTACGCCAGTTTGGATGACAAAGGGCTCAGAGGTAGAGCCACTGCACAGGATGGTGGCAGTCATCTGGGCATGGAGGAGGCTTACAATGGTGATACATTTGTTTGGGCAGCCAAACTTTGACATGATTTTCCACAGAGCCTCATGGTTGGCAGAGTCAAAGGCTTTGGTTAGATTGATAAAGGCCATATACAGCTTCTGGTGTTGTTCACCTTTTTCCTGGATCTGCATCGCTGCGAAAATCGTGTTGGTTGTGCCTCGTGATGGTCTGAAGCTGCACTGGGACTCTGGAAGTACTTCCTCTGCAAGAGGGAGCAGGCGATTCAGTAAGATTCTAGCAAGAATCTTCCCAGCGATGGAGAGGAGGGCAATGCCTCCATAGTTGCCGCAGTCAGCCCTGTCTCCTTTTTTGAAAATGGTGATGTTAGCATTACGTAATTCAGCAGGGATTTCTTCAGTGCGCCAGATTTTGAGGAGCAGCAAGTGAAGCTTGTTAGTCAGTGTTTCTCCCCCCCACTTTCAGTATTTCAGCTGGTATGCCATCAGGACCTGGTGCTTTATTGTTCATTTATTTAATTGCTTTGCAGACCTCCTCAGGTGTTGGGGGGTTGGCAAGAGTTTCCCAGATTGGGTGCTGAGGGATGGAGTCAATGGTGTCGTCAGTCACTGTCGAGTCTTGATTTAGAAACTTTTGGTAGTGTTCCTTCCAGCACTCTTTGATGGATTCGTTATCTTTAAGACGAGTACTACCATCTTCGGATCTCAGAGGCATGAGGCCACATGAGCTTGGTCTGTATAGGGTCTTTGTCTCACAAAAAAAGCTCCGCATATCATGTCTGTCAGCGAATGTTTGGATTTCTTTTGCTTTGTCCTCCCACCATTTGTTTTTGATTTCTCAGATCCTTTTTTGAGCTTCAGCTTTGAGCTGATGGAAAAAGCTCTGCTTCTGACTGGATAGTGGTTGGTTTTGCCAGTCGCAGAAAGCTTTTCTTTTCTGGTCCAAAAGGGTTGTAATCTCAGTAGTGTTGTTGTCAAACCAGTCCTGATGATGGCAGGTAGCAAGGCCAATGGATTCCTTGCAAACCTCATGGATGGTCTGTTTTAGGGCTTCCCAGTCTTCTTTGACACTTACGTTGTCATTTCCAGGTGTGCATATGGCCAGTTTTTCACTGAGAAGTGTTTGGAAGTTCTCTTGGTATACTGAGGATTGAAGTCTTTGGATGTTGTATTGCCGTCTGTGTGATTTGGTTGCTTTCTATGTTTCGGTGCAATCCTGATGTACATGACTTACTATGCTAAACAGAACCGAGCCCTTTCATGTAACTATGAATCCTGTCTCCCTGGTTTTAGAGCTACATAAACATGCAATGCACACATCAAACAAATCCATCGCTAAAGCCTGTCACCTTTGCCCATCTGCCTAAGCACATTCCACTTCCGTTTAACCTTCCCCGTTCACTCTGTCAGTCACCTGGGCTTGACACAGTCAGTGCTGCACACTGCACAGGTGCTTGGGAAACAGCTCAGATCTTATGTTCATTTGCTACAATGTTACCGGTGCTGATTAGAATGCACCCCTATGTCTAGATACCTGTGTTTCTGGGACAAGTCTCATATTTTATAGGCTAGTAAAATTGAAATGGCCCCAGGCTGGAGCTCTGCTGTGAGGGTCAGGAGCTGTTCTCTTACCCTCCCCTTAGGTAGCCCACGTGGGGAAATGAACCTGGACGCACAGAGTACCTGGCATCGCTACTCACCAACCGAACATTCCTTCGCACCCCTCCTAGAGGGTTGA